GCTTCCTCAAGAACCAATGAGGTTCATACTCGTGTTACACAGCCCATTTGAGCTTCCTCAAGAACCAATGAGGTTAACTCTCGTGTTACGCAGCACATTTGAGCTTCCTCAAGAACCAATGAGGTTCATACTCGTGTTACGCAGCCCATTTGAGCTTCCTCAAGAACCAATGAGGTTCATTCTCGTGTTACGCAGCACGTTTGAGCTTCCTCAAGAACCAATGAGGTTCATACTCGTGTTACGCAGCACGTTTGAGCTTCCGCAAGAACCAATGAGGTTTATTCTCGTGTTACGCAGCACGTTTGAGCTTCAGCAAGAACCAATGAGGTTCATTCTCGTGTTACGCAGCACGTTTGAGCTTCCTCAAGAACCAATGAGGTTCATTCTCGTGTTACACAGCCCATTTGAGCTTCCTCAAGAACCAATGAGGTTCATTCTCGTGTTACGCAGCACATTTGAGCTTCCTCAAGAACCAATGAGGTTCATACTCGTGTTACGCAGCACATTTGAGCTTCCTCAAGAACCAATGAGGTTCATACTCATGTTACGCAGCACATTTGAGCTTCCTCAAGAACCAATGAGGTTCATACTCGTGTTACGCAGCACGTTTGAGCTTCCGCAAGAACCAATGAGGTTCATTCTCGTGTTACGCAGCACGTTTGAGCTTCTGCAAGAGGTTTGTTGTCTCGCGTCAAGCAGAGCTTCTTTTTATGTTCGCTGAAAATGTTTATATCTAAATGTTTATATCTAAATTAAATCTGTTCATAATATAAAGCAATCGAGTCTCTTAAGAACATTTGGTCTAAACCCCTCAATTCATATGGATTAGTTTTACGATCTCTTTATGAACTTTTGGAAGCATCAAAGTGGTAGTTGCGTAGCTGTCAATGGAGGGACAGAAAGCTCTCAGTTTTTATCAAAAAATCTTCATTTCTGTTCCGAAGATGAACGAAAATCTTACGGGTTATGAACAGCATGAGGGAGGGGAATTAATGACTGAATTTTCATTTTTGGGTGAACTAACTCTTTAATCGAATTAGACTACGCAATATTACTTACTAAATTGACTGCTGTAGGTACATACAAACAAAGATCGTACACTGCATTTATTATATTGGCACAATTGCTAGACTTCCACATATTCAAACAAATGTTGTTTTAGCCAGTGTACAAAGACTAGGAGTGCCAGTGGATGGTATTCATGCAATAAGATGACGACTGTGTGTGTATGTGCCTGCAGTGCTCGGTCCATTACTGGAATCTAATTACCCAGAGAGACCCTGACAGCACTCTCTCATATCATAACTCAGGATTCAACAGGAAACTGCATTAGTGTGTTTGACAGGAAATAGCTTTAGAAAAAGACTTCTGCCCCGTCCTTCAGCATATGGACAACAGGTAACAGGATATTTTATTTAAAATATTCCATATTGTCCATATTCCATATCATCTGTAATCTATATTCAATACAATGTGCAAAGCATTGTCGAGGCTGAACAGTTTCATTTATACCAGCTAAATCTTACAATAGCACAGGGTGTGACCATGATGTCAGAGCAGAACACCGATTTAGGATACATCACAATGGAGAGATGAAAGGCGAATTTAGACCCAGAGTTTAAATGTAGTTCAACAGACCATGAAGAAAAACCGACCACAGGCACTAAGCCTTGACAGCTCTAAAAGTGAAATAATAAAGAAAATAGGGTGGAAAATATCTCTGGGAAAGCTTCGGGCAACAAATCACACAGGCTACACCTTTGAGTGACATGGAAGGGCATCTATGCATCCATGCAGACAAGCTAATGCCGTACATGACTCAGCCAGGCCATCACTTATTTATGGCTGGTTTTTATTGATGAATTGGCTTATGAGGTTGCAATAAGCAGACAGGCAGGGTGAGGCTAAGATTGTTATTGTAGGGCTCTTAGGAGGGCGTGACAGAAAAAACACTGGTTGGATATTCTCTTTTTTTAGTTATTTAACAAGCTCTGCAGTGTCATCAGCTGTAATTTTATACATAAAAACACCATGGTAAATAAATTTAATCTCACCTTGGCAGCATGCCAGAATGGTAGGCTACCATCGACCCCCTAAGGATCTAAACAATGCTGCTCTAACTGAGCATTTTGTCAGGTGTGAACCTCACTGGCAGTCAACACACACGGTCACTACAGCATCACGTACAGGCTGGACCGAAATAAAAAGCGACTTCATTACATACATGGCAAACATCTACCTCAAAATACTGTTAATGGGTAAAAAAAAAATCTACCTCAAAATACTGTTAATGGGTTAAACCCATAAACAGTATTTTGAGGTAGATTTTTTATAAAAAAACAAACTTATGGATTTGCTAAGTATGAAAAGTATGAATTGTAAATGTATGGTTAAAATTATATTATTATTATATTCAAGACATTTTATAAGTCAAAATATAAATGAATATAAATAATATTATAAAAAGAATACCCTACATAACATTAAAAATAAACAAAAATAAAATAGGAATTAAAAAATATGAATATTGGCTATGGTTTATGAATAGGCTTGTTATGATAAACTTGCGTTGTTAGTTTATTTTTACATCAATTTTATGGCCACTTATTTACTGTATATTTAGCAGATTTTTAATATAGATAGATAGATACCGTAGATAGATAGATACCGTAGATAGATAGATACCGTAGATAGATAGATAGATAGATAGATAGATAGATAGATAGATAGATAGATAGATAGATAGATAGATAGATAGATAGATAGATAGATAGATAGATAGATATGCCTCAATATGTCCATGTATTTACAAAACAACGCTGCCATGATGAAATGAAACAGGCTACATTGCTATAGTGCAGGCCACTGATGGTTTAGGAGGATTCGGTAACCAGGACAACGCCTCATCCTCCGCATAGTGGACCACAATACTGCGAAGCACGGGTGTCACTCACGCTCGCCCACACATACTTAACACCAGAAAGCGGAATGTTTCATTCATTTTACAGACGCACACACACACTGACCTGTCGGATGCGGTTCTGGTGGGGTGGAGAGCCTCCTTCGGGTGAGGAATTGTTGGAGGCCATCCTCACGTCTCGGACGGAGCCGCCCCTGCTCTGACTTTCTGCCGAGCTTTTCGACATTCAGGCTCAGCGCGTGATGATGTCCAGGAAACGGTATCTGGCAGTCCTGATACTGCGGTTGTCGAGACCTGTCAGTGCTCCGGCCTCAGATGAGAGGGCTGAAGCTCCGACACATGTTGTGGTTGAATACGAGAGTGGGAGACAGACGAACGTCCTGTGGCGTGACGGTGCGGTGCGGGTCTCACGCGCTGTCCTGCGACACTCTTGCTGCTCACATGGACATGCACCGATGTTGCAGTGCTGAAACACTGACCGAGATAGAGGGTGAATGTGGGTAATTAACGAGAAGCCTTAGATAAATATACGACGGTGTAAGAGAGCCGCATTACGAGCGATGTTCTCATCACTGTGTTGAATAGCCCCCTCCCGTGCTGCCCCCTCTCTCTCTCTTTCACTCCCCTCCTCCATAAGCCAAACCTCCACTTACACATGACGAGGCAAAACCAAAATGGATTTAATAGCTTCTATATGGAATATACAGTGGACCCCAAAAAGTATTTGGACATTTAATGTAGGCTACATCTAAAACGTGTGCATTTCATAAGTGCATTTGATAGCAACATATCAAAACAAGTGATATATGCAAACAAGTTACTTCATCCGAGAGCTAACTATTTTTTTTTTTTTTTACCTGTTTAATGGCAAGTTTCATTGTGACAAATTACCCCAAATAGCAGGGCATTTAATCACAAAACATCAATGTGTTAAATTAACTGTATCAGCGGAAATAATCAATAGTTTCCTAGCCAAATAGACAAAATACATTTTCACTTAAAAAGTGACAATTGGTTTCAGTCTCTCCAATCTGTATTGTTTTATTTAAAAATATATAGATACTTCAAAATCATTTTAACTGGTTAACTTGCCATAAAACAAATGTTTGGATTTGAGAAGTATGAAAAGATTGAATTGTAAATTTATGGTTAGAATGTACAATACATAAGACAAAACATTTTGTAAGTAAAAAAAAAAAAAAGTCCCTTTGGCTACATAACAGTGAGAATAAAACACACAAAGGAAATATGAATTAATACATATGAATATTGGCTATGGTGTATTGCTTTGGTTGTTAATGTATTTCTAAATTATGGTAAATGATTACTGTAAATTTAACAGAATTTTAGAGGATAGATGGATGATGGGTGAGTAGATGGATAGAAAGTTAGATAAAGATTTTAAGAGGGGGGCGGTTTGTCTTGACATTTCATTAAATAAAATGATCTGCTCAGCATTACAAAAAAATATCCATCTCTACATTTTGTCTAAACTGAATATGCTGCTTTACTCTGATTTAGTAGCAAAATATGGGTAGCAAATGTTGTTAAATGTACACTAAGCATTCTGAAACTATACTTCCTATACTAACAACACAACTTTAAATTTACAGTCCAAGCACAAGTATAGCGATTGAATATATTACAGATTCAATATCTTTTCTCACACAGCACAGTCAATAAAAAAAAAAGATACGACATAAAAAATATACACACTTTATTAAACATCTACTTTGAATCAGTACTGGACGTGAACAGTAATAACTTGACACCGAAAACTCATTTTCTCAGTACAGATTACATAAAAGTACCATTTTAACAATCAGAAACAAGAATCAGCTGCTTATTCTATGTATAGTACGTTCCGCTTTCACAAAAATAAGCTTAAACTGATCTGAAACCACAGTGAAGTTCTAAGACTTACTGCACAGATAAACTGGTAAACTTAAGGACCTTTTGCTTTTAAGCAACTGGGTTATGCAAAATATGTTAACGGAAATGCAGAAAGCAGAATCGTAAATAATACATATAACATACTGAACTCTCAGCAGCTGTAACTCATTTCTATGGTTTACTGGACCCGACAGTGAATGAAAGAGAATCAGGTTTGGAAAGGCACAGTATTACTCACAAAATGTTGATTCTCAGGATGTAGAACCTGAAGAAGAAAACTCAATTTGATTTCACTTTTAATAGGACTAACCTTAAGCACAGCCAAAAAAGCTTAAGGGAAGACAGAGTTACCTTTAAAAAACAAACAAACAAACAAACAAACATACATATGTGCCAATTCCTTTTAATTAAGTTAAACCAATTAAATGTATGCAAAGCGAAATGCTTATATTTAATGATCCGATACATCTTTTATAAAAGTATGAGTAATTCAGGTTTAAGAAACTAACCTTTCTTGGGCTTTGTAGCATATTCAATGAAGCAGCACTACCTAACAGCGTAATTTAGTGCAGTGTAATGTCTCTGACCCCACCCCGAACACCATATACAGGAAGCCATTCTGAATAGCTTATCCACTCAATATACGTCAGACAGCAGAGAGCTGGTCAAGGTTGTCTTGGGAACGACTGGCGAGGTGCGCTTCCAGTATCTCTCCAAACAGACCTCTCTTCAGCAGATTGTATGCCAATGGCAGCAGCTGACGTACCACTTTATTGAAATACTACCAAAAGAAAAACAAAACAAGGCAATTGGTCAGTTGTTCAGCAGAACTCATAAGAAACGGCTATTAATGTGTCTGCAAAGTGCAAGGACACACCACCTGGAAGAAGGCCTTGGATGGAAAGCAAAAAGCTATTAAAGGTAACGGCTATATGCAGGTATTAAAAAAATTCTGTGGACACAAACACTGCATTTGTCTGCTAGGCTTAAAGGGTTAGCTCACACAAAAATAAAAAAATCATGTCATCATTTACTCTCCCTCATGTCACTCCGAAGCCATAAGACTTCCGTTCATCTTTAAAAAGCAAATGAAGATATTTGAATGTAATTGAGGTATTTCTGTGCCTCCATTGAGAGCTACGCAACTACCACTTTGACACTTCAAAAAGTTCGATTGTAAAATGAATCCATATGAAGAGACACAAAGGCATGTTTATAAAAGCTACTTAAATGCCCTACTTGAACTAAAGCCTAATCCTGGCTTAATCTTAGCATGTGTAAGTTGATGAATGTTTATATGTGAATAAAATCCTAAATTCAATCTGTTCATCATATAAAGCGATCGTCTCTCTTCAGAAAATTTGGACTATACTGCTCAATTCACATGGATTAGTTTTACAATCTCTTTATGAACTTTTTGAAGTGTCAGTTGTGTAGCTGTCAATGGAGGGACAGAAAGCTCTCAGATTTCATTAAAAATATCTTAATTTGTGTTCTGAAGATGAACGAAAGTCTTACAGGTTTGGAACGACATGCGGATGAGTAATTAATGACAGAATTTTTTGTTCTATTGCTTGTGATTTGTTTCTTTGTGCTTTATATTATTATTTTAATTAAAACAATTTTTTATTTAACTGAAAAATACTTAAAGCAACATGTTTTTTTTATGTTTGATTATTAATTTGCATTAATATTTACCATTTTGAATAGATAAAACTGTGGTAGAACTAAAAAAAATACAAATGCAAAGACAACTGCAAAAAACACATGAAATACTTCAATGTAAATGTGAATAAATATAAATGTGTGCAGATTTAGGGTTGAACTTTTGATTGAATATTATTTGTGTGTGTGCGTGTTTATCTTACATGTGAGCCATGACAGAACAGATCTATCCCAAGCTCATAGCCCATGCCGTAATCACATTCATCATTGGCAAATTGAACAAAGGTGATCATTTCCTGAATGGGCGCGAAAGCTTTCATCCTCTCCTCATCATCCTTGGCCTCCGCAATCACTTTGCAAATCTTCTTCAGACTTGCTACAAGTAAACAAAACAAAGGAGGTAAACTAAAGTCTTCTAATTGTTTTGTCTCCCATTACAAATTTTAATATTGATGTTGCATGATGCAATGCAACTGCAGCATTATTTCACAACATGGCCATTGCAAAGACCCCGATATACTTCACTTACCCCCAAACGAAGAACGAAAAAGAACTTCGCCGTGAGTATATCGGGTCAACACTAAAATGCAAAATATCATTAAAATGGGTGAGAAATTTTGAGGTTTACCATCAGTTTCTGGCAATTCTCTATATCCAACATCATTTTTATCCACTGGAACCACAATTCCTGCTCCATGAAAAGTCTTTGTGACTACCTGCAGGAAAATAAAAGATGTTGGAAATTAAGGATTTAGTTTACCTAAAAATTTCTGTCATAAATTACTCACCATCATATCGTTCCAAACATGACATTCGCTCATCTTCAAAACGAAAATGAAGATATTTTGGATGAAATCTGAGAGATTTCTGTCCCTCCACTGAAAGACTATTTAACCAAAACTCAAGACTCTTCAAAACATTCATAAAAAGATGGTAAATGAAATCCATATGAATCGAGCGGCTTAATCCAAATCTTCTGAAGAGACAATCGTTTGATGTACAGATTTAATTTAAGATTTTATTCATATATAAACACTGATTAGTGGACATACATAGAGCACTCAAAATGGAAGCTCAAGCTTGATTTGATTGCTTGAAGCGTCTCTTCAGAATACTTCAATTAAACCACTCGATTCATTTAGATTTATTTTACAATCTCTTTATGAACGTTTTGAACCGTCAGAATTGTGGGAGAATAGACTTTTAATGGATGGGCAGAAAGTGTCAGATAATTAAAGTATATTAATTTAGCTTATGAAGACGAACAAAAGTCTTATGGGTTTGGAAAGACATGAGAGTGAGTAATTGATGACAACTTTCATTTTTGGGCAAAGTCTCCCTTTAAAGGTCAAAACATGCCAGTTACCTCCACAAAAGTTTTACAGAGACAAATATGTGGTTCTGTCAAATAATTTTCAGCACATACCTTTCTCTCTCTTTGTTTCATTGCTTTAGTTTTCTGCTCCAGGGGCAAATCCAACCTCTCTGCCTCTCGCTTCAAATCTTCTTCCAACCTGTCCAAAGCAGCTTCGTTCTTCTGTTGTCCCCTCTCCTTTCTTTTCTTCTTCAAAAACAGCCTAGGTTGGTGTACCAAAAGAGAGATTGTGCAAATAGAAATATGAAAAAAAATAAAAATACCCCATTTAAAATAAATAATTATTTTCTCATTTTACTTTTACTCTGATTAATTCATTTGTCACTCCAAAGGACCATTTAAAATAAACTTATGAAAGAAACAAAGTTCAATAAAAATGGGGAAGAAAAAATAAAACTTAAAAGTTAAACCTAAAATGAGCATCCATTTTAATTTTATAGTTTTATTATCTATTAAAGACACTTACAGAACTGCTGCAAAGATGTTGTCCCCCATCTGTGTGATGGTACAGCATTTCTTGGCTTCGTTCTCCCCAATAAACACAGGTAAAGCATCAGGTATATCTCTGAACAGGGAGACAAGTACAGTTAGAGAATCACACAAACCTCATTATTATAAAAACAAAAATTATGTTTTAAAGTTAAAGAACCATGAATTTGTTGTTGCAGTTTGATGTGCCAAAATTAGCTTTTGCAATAATCCTTGCAACTATTGTTTTACCCAATTACGAAAATACATGTCATTCACAGGCAGTGCTGGTTAATAACTGATTATATGTAATATGGATTATGTAATCATATTCCAAAAATGTAATACTTGTATTTGGATTATATTACATGTTAAAATCAGAATCTAGTTACTTATTTTTTATTGATTACATGATTATCAAATATTCACAAAATGTCAGTAAATTATTCAGAATTCATTGATTCTCCCTAATTCTATTTTTATTTTTATATTTTCCTTTCTCAAAAGATTTGTGCGACTATTAACTACATGGAAAATTGTGAGACTGCTCAGCATAAACAAATAAAATATTTAATGGTTTTTTTTGTTCATGTTTAAACCCTAATTTGGGAAACCATGACATAATGTAATGTTTAATTCAACAATGGAATAATTTTTCTTTCTCTTTGTATTTATCGATATGGTACAAGATTATCCTAAATCAATAATAATCAATGATAATAATCAATAGCCGCGTTTCCACTGTCAGGCCAGGGCCGAGCCGTGCTAGTGCGTGCCAGGGCCAGTCGCGTTTCCACTGTCACTTCCGGGGCTTGATCGGGGCTTACTCGGGGCCAACGGCCAGGATTTCTGGCCCGTCGAATACCTTGGGCCAAAGCGGGCCAGCTCGGGCTAGAGGCGTGGTTACGAACAGAGGCGGGGTTTACCTGAGTCTGGAGACGACAGCGCCGGATGATTCTGTCAGCATTAAATACTTTTAAAATAATTTAACTCACTTTCATGTTTGAATGCCTTCTGTTTGTGATCCGATGTGGATTATGATCACCGTTTAAGATAGAAATATGTATAGGCCTACGCGATGCAAAAGACTATGCGCGTTGCATTACCATAGTAACCATAGTAGCTAAGATCCGCATGGTAAAAAAAACATGGTGAACGCTTGAAGAAATCAGACCAATCTTAAAGGCTATCACAATCATGTTTTTATTTTATCTGTCAGTAGCATACGTCTCGTCTCTTTATACCGGACTATCATAAAATAAAGCAACTTTTTTTTCGGGAGCTTTCTGTTTATCTGACTGAAAATATCTGTAGCCTACTGGGAGTTGAGAAAGTGCTAAAGCTCATCAGGTCGTATTTTTGGTAGTGATCGACCGATATATCGGCCGGCCGATATATCGGGCCGATATTTGCGGTTTTTACGTGTATCGGAATCGGCCGATACGCGGCTGCTGCGTTCGCCGATAGTTTTTTCCCGGCATTATTTATAGACAGGCGTCCACAGGCAGCTCTGTGCTGCTGGAGACGCTGCAGTTCACGTGCAGACCCTGCACTGTCCCTCCCCCACTAGCAGAGTGCAACCTGCGCTTCAAGATAACGGTAACTTTTAAACTTTCAAAGCATCTTTTAACTGTTTGACTGCTGAAATATTGTCAAACACTTTGAAAATGGAAACACATTGCTCTATAACTGTTATGTGGTTGCAACTATATAGCTAAGCAAGTTTGTGGGTCCAAATGGAAAACGCGAATGACTCGTCTATAAAACTGCTTGCTTGCCATTGTATTTAGGGAGCTGCAAATAGCTGTAGGCTATCCGTTCAGTATGCATTAGGGCTGTCAATGAATATTCTAAATACAAATATATATTCGAATAGTTTAAAAAAAAATTAATTTTGAAGGTGAAAATGAATATTCGAATGTGGAAAAACACGCCCGCGGTAGCAGACTAATGTTACCACAGCACAGCTCGCTCGGAGCGCTCAGTTTTGGTTCTATGTACTGTGAAACTTCAATTAATGTATTTGTTTCAATCACTGAATGAAGCCTGCTATATACCTTAAATTGCTTGCACAAAACTCTTGATCAGCACTCAACATTTGGTTTTTGTTGTTCATTTAAACCGGTATGCGCGGAGAGCGTGAGGGTGAGTGCGAGAGAGAGAGAGAGTGCGCCTGCGAGTCCGGGCTAGCCAGAGTGAGCGCTGCGGTCTTGGCCATTAGTTGATTTACTCGTTTTTTTTTGTAGTAATACGTTGTCAAATATGTTTCAAATAAGCTAATTAATACTAGTAGTTATGTCTCTTTGTATTAATTTGTCCTGTTATTGACGTAATGCGCGTCAATGACCAAATGCACGACGATATGCTCAAATATGTTTTTTTAGAGGGAATATACAAACGCCATTTGAGCAATTTTGACAGCCCTAGTATGCGTACGGTAGCTGTTACGAACACTGGTCATAGGATTAAGTAATACCAACGTTGTTCCGTGCTTTTTGTGGGAGATTTATTCAGCGACCACCTGGCTGAGGTTTGGACGCGTGTGGTGTGTGTCTCCCTCGCCATCGCAGTGATATTAGAGACTAGACATGCTCATTTTATTTTATGTAGAAAAATTTAAACCATGGCAGTAAATAGTTCGTTACTTTTAAAATGAAGTACAGTGTGCACTGTGCACTTTATTATGCTGGTTGCTACTGTGTGCAATAGTGTAATTATTTTATTTATGTTTAAATATTTATTTTCAGCAGTGAACTTTTTTTTTGTTCTACCTCATGTTTTTAATATTTGTTAAATATTGTTTATCTACTTGTTCTTGTTCTACCTCACATGTTTTTACTATTTGTTAAATATTGATTTTTTTACGTTAAATAAATGTTACTTTTATTAAATTGAGACCTGTAACATTTGTTAACATCATGTCATTTTTATGATGTAAATTGAGGGGCAAAATGTATCGGCTCCAAATATCGGCTCAAGAAAATCGGCAGCCCGTATCGGTCATCGGCTAAGGCTGATGGGGAAAAAATCGGTATCGGCACAAAAAAATCCATATCTGTCGATCCCTAATTTTTGGTAGCATATATTTGTAGAAATTATCTTTCTTTCTAAATGTGATGTAAATATGTCCTGTAACTAGCCTACCAAATAAACAGAAACAGACGCAACTGAAGAAGTAAGCGTGTCCTCTTTCTTTTGTGAAACCTAATGGTAATTTATTTCTGTGTGACTAATGTGCAATTTTAACACATTAATTCATGATCAATATATCACTTTTTATTGTAAACCTGTGGTAAAACATCGATCCTTGGGTTTTAAATATTCAAGTAAACAACACAAATTTCAGCAAACGGTCGCTTTTATCATGTTTGTTTTGCAATGCACGCTGTTTCCAGTGATTTATTTCTGATTAGTTTTCTGATAAAACTTCCATTTGTTGGTGAAATGATGGGTTAGTGTGACGTTGTTCCCGAGAGGCGTGTTTTAGTGAAGCGCTGTGGAGCTTCTGGCCTGACAGTGGAAACGCAGGCCCGGTGCTACTGGCCCGAGGCTATTAGCCCGGCACGGCCCGTTTAAAGCCCTGGCCCGCACTGGCCCGACAGTGGAAATGCGGCTAATGATAATAACAAACAAGTTAGGTCAAAAGTAATCTAAAAGTAATCACAAAGTAGTCCGATTATATTACCTTAAATGTGTAATGTAATAGATTACATTACTAACAACAATTCTTACCATGTAATTTGTATTCAGTAAGGGACTACAATTTGCACTGTTCACAGGTAAATAGTCACCTGAAGTAGCCCATGTGGTGTTGGGTGTCTACGTTGCCCAATATGATTGTCTGAAACTCTGGGGGATCATAAAAATGGCGCCAATGAAGATGAAAGTTGGGTTGAGAGGAAGTTGAGCATTTGTATTTTTTGGACAGGATATCAAAAGGCCCAACTAGCTGAAGCCCAAGTGTTTCCTTTAGGGCATCTGTAAAGCACACAAAAACACATGCAACGATTAAACATCACTACCACAAGACATGTAAATCACATAACTGTAATTAAGTTCTTTATTAGCATTGATGGTTCCATGCAGAACCTTTAAATTCCATAGAACCTGTCTATTGTACAAAATGTTCTTTTAGTGGAAAAAGATTCTTTAGAAAAATATTCATCACACTCAAATGGTTCTTTTATTGCATTGCTACAAAAACCCTTTTGGAACCTTTATTTTTAAGGGTGTATGATAATAGCGATGGTATGGATATAGAACCATCAATATAACACAGATACCTTGTGGACAGTCAGCACGAAGACTCTTGCAAAATTCCCAAAACTGGAAAAAATCGTCAGGCATGCTTAGCTTGTACAATCTTTCCACTTCTTCTCTCATTTCTCCTGCAACAACAGTCTTTTCATCCCTTTGCCCTTCTTTTGGCTTTTTCACCTCCCCGTTTGGTGTTTCTGTCTGGAACAGGCAACATTTTAATAACCTTGTATTGGCATAAATTATAATTTCAGTAATATAAATAATAAAAACTATAGGACGTCGGACGATAACTTTTCTACGAAGAAACGCTCAGTCCAGTACAGAATAGTTAAGCTAAGAAAACAGATGTGCAAGGTGCAGATTAAGGTCATTAAAATCGAAGGGACACATTTAAATTGTCGCAATAAACTTAAGTTATGCCAGATGATGATGCATACATAAATTGTTTAGCAACTGATGTGCTGATACGAACACGTTATTTGGGGTCTTTGCAACAGACTGCAGCTAATGAACACTGAAGACACAAACAGATTCACATAGTGATTAACTTACATAATATTCACTAGCACTGATCATATGGATTGTATAATGTACAAACAAAATAACTGAAGTGTAACGTTAGTGGATGTTCAATCTATATGAGTCACAATCTTTCACAAACGAGCACCCCACTACCTCTCAGTAAATACTCAGCGTAAAAGGATACATGAACACTGTACTCGAACTACTCGAAATTATGAAAATTATATGAAGTACCTGTGGCGAAGACCTGGGTTTTCTTTTCCCGCGCCGCGCCATGCCTGCTGTTTTTTTCCCGCAATCTCTCTCCTCAAAGCGCCGCTGCAGCCAGTACTTCTGAACTTCTGAACATCCGGTAGAGATTTCAAAATAAAAGTAGTGACTTATGATTTGTTGTTATCATATGCATTTACAGTCTATGGTGCATGTATGTTCTTTTAATTCCCTAATGAATAAGAAAAACTACTGAAAATGCACAAACGGAAATTATGTTTTTGTCTATTTTTTTCATACAAGTGATTGTATTTTCACACAACACGAACAGTGTAGCCTATTATTTATTCATTTGCAGCAAAACGCTAATTGTTTATTTGAATAATTTGTATTATGAATATAAATAAATACAATTTATGACTATAATGACATCCATGGCAGAAGTGAAACTGAAATTGAAGTTTCAAGACAATATTTTAAAATAGCATCATGTCTACTAGGTATGAATTAGAGTTGTCAGTTGTATAACATGACCTCAGCTCAGTTTATGAGCTTTTTAAGAATATCGTTTTTGGATTTATATTAAAGTCTGACAAATATTTCTTGCTTAATATTTAGACAAGAATTTAAATTTAGATTATATTATATTCACACATAATCATAACATGAACGTTCTGGGAACCAAAAATTGTTAACTGGAAACATGTAAAATAACAATAATATTGTACAATGTCAACAGAGAAGAAGTAGGCCAATATAAATTAAACATTCATTTTATTTTATATTTAAAAATTATATAATGCAATAGAATCAGCAGTTTATTAAGATTTTTGTTAATTCTATATTAATCCAGTTTTGTATAGCGGTAAATATTCCTGGACCACGTGCACATTATGCATGACGTGACACAGAAGGAGGTGACAGTGGGAGTTTAAAAGGATGAGAGACAGGCTTGTGGAGAGTAAATCTGTTAGTAACTCAGATTCTAGGTTCACAGCAGGAATAACGATGTTCTGCAGAGCGGCTTGGCAAAGACTTGCACCTCTGGCATGCAAATCCCTCACTCCTTTATTCAGCAATGGTAAGAAAACATCCTTTTACAATGGGTACATCATTCAATCCATATCGAATGAATTTCACCAGCCTACACTTCACAATCTAAAAGAGAGTTGTTACAAAATATGCATAAACCATAAAATATGAAGTTGAACATTTAAAAAAAAGTCATCGTATCTTTTAAGGATGTGCGTGTGTGTGTGTGTATGTGTGTCAGTGGTACGACTTTAACCCCAATCCAGAACATTGAGTTCTGATGTTTGTGTTATGTAACAAATGAGATATGCTCATCAAATTCAAGTATGCCTAAAACATAGAAAATACAACTTTATATATGTTTATAGGGATTTCACAAATCATATCAAAATATGACTTCCTTCATGTAAGCTGAACAATTCATCACATTTTCAGTAAACTAGAAAGACTTCTTTTGTCATGAGTGTTTTATGTAGGTTAATGAAATATTACGAGGTTTTATCTGTTTATTGTAGCCTATAGTGTTTTTTCTTCTTCTTTGATTAATCGGTTTGTATTAGCCTACAATGTTTAGAATATCATTTATGTTGTGCTTATTTTTTTAATGATTTTTAATGTAATGCAAGGTTTTATATGGTATTATTAATATTTAGGCTATTGCACATAATTTACATAATGATTTGTAACCTTGGAATGAATATATTATTTGTGCAGGACCCTGCATTCCAAAGGAAATCAACCCGGTAAAACTGGAAACTCCCATTTTAATTTCTGCTTTTCTTTATTAAACAATTTCAATGAAATTACAGATGAAGAAATACGAGTTAAGATAAGGATAGAGATTGTTGTGATAAGTTAAATGTTATGAAATTGTTGTTCAAGACTTTTTTTTTTAATGGACAATGTTTTATTTCAAAATGTTTGAGTTTTTTTTTTTAATGCAGAGTTTTCCATAACAGATAACAGCGACATAAACCCTTTCCTGCTCCAGTGCATCTGTGGGAAATAGCTGGATTTGATCTGTTTAAATTTAATTTCCTGTCAAAGGATTCACTCAGTTTGAACTGCATGCGCCTTTATTATTGCTTTAAAATATGAAGATCTTCTGGCCACTTTAACTTTGAGGGCGAATCAGTTTTTCTACCGACTCCGCATTTTGTGCATGATTTAACTTTTGTATTCTCAAAATCTGTTCAGGCATTTCCTAAAACCACCCAAATATTTGAAGAGGGCCCTATGCAGAGCTCTCTGCCAACATGAATTTGCCTATAGGGTTCTGCACACTGACATGCCGTCTCCACCCCAATGGGGTTAAATTTATGCCAGTGTTTATGTATACAGCTTTCAGTGTTTTCAGAGAGCATGACTCCGCACACATTGTCCTGGACACCTGCTGCTGGTCTACCTTCACCTTAACAGTGTGTTGACGGCGACGCAGCCGTAAATGAGATTAAATGTATAAATGAGGTGAGGCACAGGCCACCTTGGTGCAGACAGTTACCTTATTATTGCAGTCGTTCCTGAAATTCATGCTTTGTTCTATTGGATATTACTTAATGGAACTATTTAAAGTCCAGATTTTGGATCTGGATTTTGTGACACTGCAGTTTTGCACAGACACTGCATGTCCGGTGCATGTGCTCCTGTGGGATTAAATGTTGCTCTAGAGAGAGGCTAGGAGGGGTGGTTTTACAGTGGGACATTGTGTTCCCTTCTGCTGCTTCACTGCAGCTACACAGAGGATGTGTGTTTGCCTAAATGAACGCACAGACACAAAAGCCTGAAACGCATGATTGCTGTATCAGGCTTGCCTGGTCCCCTGTAACTTTGCAAGCTACTTAAAATTTCCACTCATCAGACTCCTCCACTGAAGTTGATTAGTGACGCAAACGGTGCATTAGTGCCCGCCGCCTTGCTCAGCAGCACCGGTTCCAGAAGTATTTTTTTCCGTTCAATTTTCCCATAGGGATAGTCTTCTTAAAGATATGAACCAGGACAATCAGCTACAGGGTGAATCACAACACTTCAAACTTTGATTTGAAGCAAACAAAGTTTTTGTAATCGGACAAAAAGACAAAGGTACAAGACTGTGTACAAGACTTAACTTCATTAGGGCAACATGGCAAATGTAGTATACATCCAGATTACATTCATACTACACAGATTCATACTATATAGAATGCATTTTTCTTAGCAGTTGTAAAGTAATTACTTATTCAAAATAAGTATTATCAAGAGAGTATGTGATTTCGGATGCAGCCATCATTGACCCAAATACGTAATTCACAGTGCTTCAAAGGTCGGTCCCAACTTCTGGTTCACGTTGAGTCGTTGACTTTAAATTTGAAAAAATAAGCTGCAATATTGCGGGCTGAGACAAATATCATGGATCTAGCTCAACCTCATTGCTTACAGTTGGTCTGTCTTTAAAGTTATCATTCAAAATCAATTTTCCTATGAAGAAAATGAAAGTTAGTTTTTACTTTCAGAACCCTGTTGCACTCTTTTGTTCCACAAATGATTGGAATGACATCGCAACTGAGGGACAATACACATTTATATAATTAAATTTGCACATAATAAATATTGAAATGGTTTGATACTCAGTCCCCAGTTGTTGTTGTTTTCAGGAAAAAATACTGCAAAGTTTTGATCATGTTGATAATTTAGAGGCCGTAGAAATATAATACAGGAGGCTTTCTAGGGGTAATAATAAAACACTGTAATGGATTTTCATATTTTAAAATTCGATTGATGGATGGTGAAGGAAAACAGACTCAGCTAGCCTCAAAAATGCTTCATACGTTTGTATGTACTGATACGTTTCTCTCTTTATCTTTCAATAGCTGTATTCCCTATACGACAGATGTCCTTTGGGCTACCTGCGTCCGGGACAAACATGGCTTACATGGTGATTGGTGGAAGCTCACTTACTGCTGCTCTTGTTTATGTATGTATTTTTACTTCTTTCATCCTGTTTTAGAAAACTTTGGTTTTGTGTTAATTATAAGTGTTAATAATAATAATAATAATAATAGCATCCATTTATGCTTTTTCACCCCATTTTCCTCCTACAGGCTTATAAGACAATAAACTCTGACAGTGCAAGATATAATGAAAGAATCGCACAACTCGAGGCCAGACCAAAAAGTAAGATTTTTTTAAATTTATTTATTTATTTGCTGTAGTGGTTTTGTTTTTGCTGATGAAAACCTGTTTTCAGTTTGCCTGTTAGTTAATCTTTCATCATCAGTAAAGCGGAATAATTTACAAAGACAGCTGGGATTAGATTCCCATTCAGAGGTCTTTATTCCTGGCTTCATTGAATTGATGGGTGCTGCGAGTCAGGCCTGTTCTGGTATGTGTGTGTTTCTGCAGTTCCTCGGGCGTGATCCTCTTTCTGCAGTTACCCAGCAGCCACTAAGCTAGCTACATTTAGAGCAGCTTTCACTTGTTTACTTCTCTTGCTTGCGTGCTGTTAACCACCTTACTTTTTGTTCTCCCATTAGGTGAGGAAGGTGAGTATAAATTTAGCCTGTCTTAACAGCATGTCTGGGTTTTTTTTTTTTAAATGCAGCATGTCTGTTTTTTTTTTTAAATGCACTCAGTCAGTAGTCAATAACAACTTTTCTATAAATTTTGGTCTGTCTTTTCCTTTTTTTTACCTGCAGCAACATGTATCACATATCTCACAAGCACTTTTCCAAAATTAGTTGCAAAACTTGTTTTGGCATTTGCAAACAGTTTAAACTAAGGCACTTTAAAGTTAGCATGATGGATGACACTTAGTAAAGTAAACTTAGAGCTTTGTAAAATGCTTTTATATTATCATATTAACTAATACTACTGTTCAAAACTTTTGGGTCAATACATTTTTACTTTTATTCAGCAAAGATGCAATACATTGATCAAAAGTGACAATGAAGACGTAACAAATAGCGATTAAAAAATAATTTCTATTTCAAATAAATTATGTTCTTTTGAATTTTCTATTCATCAAAGAATCCTGGAAAAATTCTGAAGGATTGTGTGACACTGAAGACTAATAAATGCTGAAAATTCAGCTTTGTCATCACAGGAATAAATTGTATTTGAAAATATATTAAAATAGAAAACCATCATTTTAAATTGTAATAATATTTCGCAATAGTACTATGTTTAATATACAATACTGTTTTTTGTTTAAATAAATGCAGCCTTGGTGAGAGTTTTTTCAGAAACATTAAAAATCATATTGACCCCAAACTTTCGAACGGTAATATGTTCAACATATAAAATTGGTTTCATGATATCACTTATAATAACTGTTTATTAAAGGAATAGTTCACCCAAAATGTTATTCCAAGCCCATATAATTGTATATAATTTTATATTCTTACTTGACTGAATATAATATAATCATATAACTTTATTTTACTTTTTTTTGTATTTTGTCACATTGTATGTCTTCTGAAACACCACCATCTTCATAATTTCTTCCCTTTTTTTTGGTCCATGGAAGAAAGAAAATAAATAATGCAAAATTAAAAATTGTGTGAACCAATCCTTTAACTATCTTGCTCATTTATTTGTTTGATGTTTGCTTGGTGATGGGTCTCCATTATCTTGAGCCAATCAAGCATCCATTCAGGTTCTTTATAATCAAATCTGTCCTGTTCTGAGGTATTTGGCAAGTGTGGTTCACTTTAAGCTCCAAAAAAAGTTTCTAATGCTAACTCTAAGAGCTTAGACTCAAAGTCGGTTGAGCCTGCTGCTAATCTGAATGAATGGTTTCCGCTATCTATCTGTGCATCGTCCTGTTCTCATAATCTCTAAAGTTGTTCTATTAAGGATAGTTCACCAAAACTGAAAATTCTGTCATTATTTACTCTCCTTCAAGTTGTTCCAAACCTGTTTTCTTCTTCTTCTGCTGAACACAAAAGAAGATATTTTGAAGAATATTGGTAACCAAACAGTTGATGGAACCAATTGCATAGTATGGGAAAAAAAAAATACTATTGAAGTCAATGGGCCCATCAACTGTTTGGTTACCAATATTCTTCTAAATATCTTCTTTTGGGTTTCAGCAGAAGAAAGAAATTCATACAGGTTTGTAACAACTTGAGGGTGAGTAAATGATGACAGAATTTTCATTTTTGGGTGAACTATCGCTTTAATGACAGATGGAATTAATGAAAAATCTTTTGATGCTAACCCTCTTCATTTAGTGTAAGAATACTTTTGCTAAGTCTGCTTTATCTTTTTAATCACACTTGATCTTGGATTTTCTTTGGATCATTCTGCCTTTTCTTAAAGTCCTGCTTAATGTATTCCAAGTAGGAGCAGTGGCCACCTTGGCCTCCGTAGCAGAAGCAGCTGCGATTGTGGAAACCGCATTAGCTGAAAACACCACTATTGTTGAAGCCACAGCAGCAGAACTCGTCGTAGAAGTGGTTGATGCGGAGGCTGAAGAGATCCCAGAACATGTGGATGCAGCAATGGTGGTGGATGCAGCAATGGTGGTTGAGGCAGAACCTGCCATTGTACAGGCAGTAGCAGCTGATGCCGAGGAACCTACTGCACCTGTTGTTGAGGATGTTGCTGCTGAGACTGCGGCTCCTATTGCCGAGACAACTGGTGAGGCGTCTTCTGTTGAGGAAGCGGCCTGAATACTGAGCAGTCTAGATGTAAACCCCAATGTGAATCTTCCCAACCCCACTTGGAACGCTCCAATAAGTTGTAGAGACTCCCTCTGTTGTGCTCCTTTTATCCGATTGACTGTGTCCTCTGAGCAAAAAGAAGTGTCCTTTTTCACCTTGTGAACTCTAGCGGGTTCTAATCCCACATTGACGGTGAGGAGGAGAGGTTGAGGCTGTACAAAAACAAGTGTTGAAGATAAGAAAATAAATACATGGCAATTTACTTAAATTGCAAGTGGTCTTTTTATTATTCCAGTCTGTGTTTTGACACTTGAAAAAATTAAATATTATATCACATCTGTGTTTTTTTTAACCTCGAGTCTCCTCCTTCACGACCAGTGGTTGTGCCTGCTATAATACTTGTTGCCATGCATGACATGCCCTCACTCATGCGTGTGCAGGGAAACATTTGTCTTAAATAACTCATATTGACAATGTTTTTTTGTTTTTGTTTTCGACGACGAGAACATGCAAACATTTTATGGACACTTGCCAGGGTTGTGATTCATTCAGAACTGAATTCCAGTCCAGTTGCTAGTTTTGAATTGAGTAAAATATACACACGCACACACTTACCGTGTATACTGTGTGTGTGTGTGATTTATACTGTATATATATCACACACACTTCATTTCCCAGAATAACTTTACTGACTTTCTGTGGAGCGTGGCCAATTTTTAAACGTGTCTGACCTACTTTGAAGACATGCATTCCAAACCACCATGGTCTTATAAGCAATTCTGTCTTCAAGGGAGATCTTTTTTTTTTGTTTTATCATTGTTTTTCCACATGTGAATATTGACTTCTCTCAGCTTTTGGGATGGAGGCAAACCCCCGTGCCTATTACCGAACAGTTTATCATCTCTGTGAATATCTCTTAACCCTCTGGTGCTTCTCACGTGGCGGTCAAAAATGAAATGAATGTACTATATTTCAGTTCAGTCATTTTTTTTTTATCCACTAATTTGTATCTTTAGCTGATTTTATGGTACTTAATTATGTTTATGCAGTAGTGATAAATAATCCATGTATTCACTTTTTGAGAATACACCTGAAAATGAAATTTCCAATTTAAACCGTCACACATCTTGAATGCTTTGACGCGCAGACTTAAGTTTGGTCTCTTTTTTTAAAGACACCTGGCAGATTATTGCTGAAGTGAAAAAGTAAAAAAAATAAAACTTAAAAAAAGTACCGGTAAACTTAAAGTTATAAAAGTTTAAGCTTATTGTTATGAAAAAATGAATTTAATTTTTTTTATATGAAATATATATTTTCCAAAAACATGTTTTACTCTAAAACTGTGAGAAAATCAAGGTCGTAAATCTAAACAAATTATGTTCCAAATTTGAGATAGGATAATTTTCCATTCATTTCCAATCTGGTCATTTTTTGTATTCTGCAAGGAATACAAGTGTGACTTTTTTCTTCTTCTCAGTACCATTAAACCTTTTTGAATCATGATTTGTGTGTGTGTGTGTGTACAGCAAGTGCCAAAACATTACCACATTTCATACCATTCCGATGCAGTAAAAAAAAAAAAAAACGTAACATTTGTCGGTCAATAATGACTGAACAGCACCAGAGGGTTAAAATGTGAAATATCATAAGGAAACATTGTTCCAGTGTCACTTACCCGTCATAATACTTGACACTAGACATTTGCTCTTATTCTCAATGCCTTTTTTGGAATTTAGGCTCGACCAATTTATGTTGATAGTTTTTAAAACTGACACACTATTTGTATTCCCTAAATAAAGTGCTTAAAAAATATGATTATTTTTGGAGTCTGAATTCAGTGCCATTATTACATGCATTTTTTGTATCCCTTTACATCATGAACTGTAATTTAAAAGAAAAATAATGAACAAATCATAATACTCTTTTCTATGCTGCAAGTGCATTTACATTATATTTTGTATTTCTGTATATTGTTGTAGAATAGCTCCTATTGTGTTTTCAATCAGGATGCTTTGCTTATAGTTTAGATAATCTGCTTTAAATTTTTTCACAGTCCCAAATACAGATTAAACCCCACTCCCTCATGTTTGCAAATGCATCCCAATTGTTCCTCCTAAAGTCTATAGTTTTTATACTTATGTTTTCAAACTGGCTTGATTATAATAACTTTATGCGGAGACGCTTTAGGCATCTCTTACATTTAATCTAAATCCCTCTTATGTGTGTTGATTATTTAATCATCTTAGAGATTTATGCCACTTATGGTGTTTTAAGAAGATTTCCTACCACCTTTAAATCCAGCTTTGAAGATTGCAGAATCTTTCCGATTCATGTCCTACAGTATGTGTGCTCTTCAGCAAAGAGTAAGCTGCCCCCTGCTGCTCTGGGTCAAACTATATACTGTACAAATATTGTATAGACATCCATATATCGCAAGCAAATTTCAAGGACTTGAACATGAGGACATATTAGATATAAATCTTAAAATAAATCGTTAAATACATGTTTCCATCTAAATGCAAGATTCTGAGAAACTGTCAAACGGAAGATCTAATGAGCTTAGCATGTGTGGGAAGAATTTGACCTCACTTGTAACATATTCCATGTTATTTTACTGTAATATAATCTAAAAATACCCCCATTAACTTATGTTATTGCGGGATTTTTTTTTTTCATTTGGAACAAAGTTGCAGAAAGAACATACAAGGCTTCAGAAGCCATTCAAATAATTCCTAACTTGAATCAACCAACAAATTGGAAAAAAGCATCAAAAATATTGTTTAAAATTTAAACAATTTAAAAAATATTTAATTTTTTTTGGCTCTATGACAAATTGCTTATGTTCCTCTTTTGTAAGTCACTCTGGATAAAAGTGTCCGCTGAATGCATAAATGTAAATCAGTGCTTAGAATCATTGATACATGGATTTTGTACTTGAATTTGATTTCATTTATATTCTGTTTTCATTTTAATTTTAGTTAAAGCTTTAGTAATTTTGTTCTGTGTTGTTATTATTCTTGTTATAATATGTCTAGTTTTTATTAGGTTTTAGTTTATTTAGTTTTATTGGTGCTTCAACTTAAACTAAATGAAAATGAGAAATGTTCTTTTGGCAATATCTGAAGTAAATAAGTTTATTATATATATATATATATATATATATATATATATATATATATATATATATATATATATATATATATAAAAAGTAATGACAATGTTTTATGGGTTTTTATGGTTTTAGCTTTAGTTAACGATGATAAGCCTGACGTAATTTCCCTCAAATTCAGAGAAAAATAAAATAGATAGAAAAAGCTAAAATAGATTCAACTTAATGCCTACTTATTGCATATTTACCTATATATTTCTGTAATAAACTAATCTTGTTGCAGTTATCCCAATGTCTGATCTACTGAGCACTGTGAAAATCCTGGCTGGATCTACAGGGGAGATCGCAGCAGCTTCAGTTGGAGATCAGCACCTGGTGGCCACATTGAGGTTGGCTGAGGACAACAATTCTGTGGAGATCCTCAATGGGCTGGAGGTTGTTGAGGTCTCAGCAGAAGTGCCTGAGGAAGCTGAGGTTGAGGAGCCCGGTAGATCCAATCTGAAAACAGAAGGAGGAGAACTGGAGGAACTGCCTTCAGCGCTTCAAACAGTAGAAGAAACTATTGAAGTGGGAGATGACCATGTCAAGTCTGAGGCAGACAGCCCTGTTGTGGCTGAAATTAATGCTGAAAGCCCTGCTTCATCAGAGGAGGCCTCTGTTACAAAGATGGAGAGTATTTTGGAATGGGAAGAGTCATTGAGTCCCGAGGTGATGTTGTCAGAAGATGATACCATTTATGGATCTGCAGAGGTGACGTCAGAGACGGTCAAGGCAGTAGGTCAACAAATAGAGGAAGATAAAGCATTATGTCATGAGCCAGCTGCCACAGAAACAGAACATTCAGAGCTCACAGCGCCACCAACAGACCTGGAGGAAGCACTACATGCCACAACAGAGTCTGCAGAAGAAGTTGCTGCGGAAATGATGCTGGATTCTGTGGAGGAAGCTAAACCAGTTAAGGCATCAGAGGAAGGTAATCAAATTATATACCTTAATGACTCTCTTTAGACCAGGTTGTTACCCAAACAAGTATTCTGATGTAGCAATCCAGATTCCACACATATACCTTGTTAATTGGACATCAGTTTTGGACATTCAGTCATCATGCACTTCTTTTTCCACAGCTGTTGAAAGTGGAAATGTTACGATGACCATGGCTCAAGCCTGAATGTTGCACAGAACCTGCGACACAGAAAGCAAGTGAAACCCACAGAATCTGTAACATGGGATGCATATGTTGAAGTTAAAGGAATAGTTCACTTAAAAATGAAAATTCTGTCATCATTTTGCTCACCCTCAAGTTGTTCCAAACCTGAATGAATTTTTTTCTTCTGCTGAACACAAAGGGAGATATTTGGAAGAATGTCGGTAACCAAACAGTTGATGGACCCCATTAACTTTCATAGTATTTTTGACCCATACTATTGAAGTCAATGGGGTCCATCAACTGCATGGTTACTGACATTCCAGCCCGTTCTCATCCCAAGGCGTCATACATGTGACGCTTTGGACAGTTCGTCGAAATCTTACGCACATGGCATCCATCCTTTAGCGTCAATATGAGACGCAGAACCCAAGGCGCCATACAGGTGACACTCGTCTAAATCCGACGCACATGGCATCCTTTAGCGTCAATATGAGACGCAGAACCCAAGGCGTCATACAGGTGACGCTCGTCTAAATCCGACGCACATGGCATCCTTTAGCGTCAATATGAGACGCAGATCCCAAGGCGTCATAACCGTAACCCTACACCAGACCAAAACCTACCCATAACAGTGCGTGTTATATTGATGCTAAAGGATGCCATGTGCGTAAGATTTCGACGAAATGTCATATGGCGTCACCTATATGACGCCAAATGATGAGAATGTGTTGGACATTCTTCCAAATATCTCCCTTTGTGTTCAACAGAAGAAATATATTCATTCACGTTTGGAACAACTTGAGGGTGAGTAAATGTGAACTGTTCCATTAACATGCAGTGCTGTAAAAATCATGAAAAAAACTATTATAATGATTTACTTGTTGTATAAGTGTAGATTGATATGGGGAAGATCGATGACCCCTCCAGATAAATTTTTTCTCTTGACTGTAGATGGCTCGAATTTTCATCTTAACACATTTAGGAAATGGCTATGCTCTTCTTAATTTTGCCATTTTATCTGAATATCAATATTTGTGAGATTTAGTCAGTCAAAACAGTTTTGAAGTTATCTAATTTTGTGTCTCTGGAACTCTGTGTTTCTGTGTGATTGTATAATATGAATATCAAAAGTTTTTATGTTTTTTGTTAATGAGAGATTTGGGAACACACTAATGTTTTTAGATTTTTGGAGTAATCAAATATTGTTTTAAAAAGAAAAGATCATATTGGACCCTCAGAATTAAGGTCCCAAGTGGCATGTTATTAAATTTATCATTAGTTTGAATTTAATTTAATACTTGCTGTAATTAATTGGGTTATTATTCAATAATTGCACAAGTTAGATGTATATTTCAGTCATCTTCGCTATTCATTAAAGCCTGTAGGCTAATTGAGTTAATTCATTGAATTCAATTTAAATTCATAGTGTTGCTATTATCTTCATTATCTTCTATTAAAATATGGTCAATTAAATAATATTAGTCATATAATTTACCTTTCAAATTAATCTCTTTTATGGGATTCTTATTTGGTTATTCAATTATTCAACTAAATTGTCAAAACTATTTTAAATAGAATAGTCGATTTAGTATTTTATAGTAATGAATAAATATGAATATAAAAAAAATGAAATATAATAAAAATGTTATTATAAAATAAATATGCACAGTTCCTCTGGCTTACCTATAAGCAAATATATATTTTTAAAATACAATATATACAGATTTGCTTGTTCAATGAGTCTGAAGTCTGAAGTTTTCTTTTTCTTTTTTTCAGATAATCAGTGCTGTATTTGTCACATCCACACCCATATTTCACCGCTAGAGGTTCTCATAAGCTTGTGTTGTTCCTCCTTTTGTTTCTTAAAATCAATGTATTTTGGAAAACTGATTAAAACTTTTCAAATATTGACAGCTGTGAAACAGTGTATACTTCATCATTGTATACTTATTATATATGCAGTTTTATAAATATTAGACTTGTCTCTTTGAAATAAAGAATAGGCCTATAGCTAGTCAATCTCTCTTTCAATCATTCACTGTGAAAGAATGAAAAGAAAAACAAATATAGACATTCAATGATCAGATAATCATTAAACTGTCAAAACATCACTGCTGGAAACATAATTTAAAACCATATATTTTAAATGATTTTTTTTTTAAATAGACTATTTTGTGTCTGTTCTGTATAGCTACACCTAATGTTATAAATTACCTTTCCCCACATAAAATATCTTCATATGAATTATAGCCTATTTAGAATAGATTTAAATTTTGGTTTTGTCAGTATTAGTTCCATCAGAAGCCAAACAGCAGAGGGCGCTACATATATGTAGGTTATATGTAGTTTTAGTTGTAGACCAATATGCAGGCGAGATATGAATGAAGTTGACAATTTGGTTCTCTAAATTAACTCAAACAAGATCAAGTTCATCTATATATTTTCTACATGTTGCTTTCAACTGACGGCATATTGTCCCAGACCCACAATGAGCCCAACAAATTTAAGTTTTTCCCCTATGATGATTATAGGCTATTTCTACTTAGTAACATCTGCATTTTACCAGTTTCTGACAATCTGGGAAAATGTGGAATGATGTTTGAAGTATTTCTGTTCCTTTTTTAAATTCCCATTTACAGTGACTTTTACTTTCGTTTTCTGGTCCAAATATAGGCCTTCATTTATTCTATGGGTTGAATTTTTGTTTGAGGGTTTTATTACCATAAAAACGTTCCTGTTTTATAAGTATTATTTTTTCTATTATTTTACCAAATCGTGACAGGAATGTCTACTTTTCTTTTTGAAGCTTAACTCTAATAAAATAGTTTATTGGCATGGTTATGTTTACATACACTATTTCCAAAGCATTATACACGAAAAAAAGTAATGACAAGAAAATGAACAATAACATATAACAATAAAAATTAAAAACATTTTAAAATAAGGTGCTAATTAATAAATAAAAATAAGATAAAAAGACATTTGTCAAGACATTATGAAAAACTGCTGTAATATACATTGATATAGTCTCTGACTATATTGATCAAGGCAGTAGTCGTTTTCTGAGGGTGCATATTTCTCCCTTTCTCTCCCCCTCCCTCTCTCTCTCTCTCTCTCTCTCTCTCTCTCTCTCTCTCTCTCTCTCTCTCTCTCTCTCTCTCTCTCTCTCTCTCTCTCTCTCTCTCTCTCTCTCTCTCTCTCTCTCTCTCTCTCTCTCTCTCATTCTACTACATCATGACTGTGACCTGGATCTTCTGTCTGCAAACACAAACCCTCCATGTCCTCTGTGCTCGATCAGTGTAAGCGACTGATTTGACTTAGACTTGTAGGTCTTGAGTTAGAGGCCCGTCATAGTCAGTGTAGTTCAGTGTCTGTTTGGACCCGTGTATGTGATGATCAGGTGTGTTAGAGCTTAGCCGCTAACGACCACAGTGTGACGGGCTCTAACCCACCACAGCCACCAAACTCAGTTTCGTGTACCTGTGTAAACCAAACAGGTACAGAGTGTGGGTTTCATTTGTAAAATCAGCTTTTCAAGGTAAGAAATCTACTTTTACGCTGTCCATACGCCGAAGAAGCATTAGCAGGGACTATGCGGTTATATTAGCTTAGCTCTATGTAACGAATATATTGAGGCACTTTACGGTGCTATTTAGTGTCGCTTTACAGTATAAAAAGTAACTCCGACATGTATACAAATGTTTTATCGATTATTTGTTTGAAAGCGCCTATATTTCTTCTGTTGTGAGCTCCTCTGTGTCGTATTTGGTGGCTGGCTAAGCTAAATGCTAGCTGAGAGTTGACAACTAACCATTTAACGTTAACGTTTCGCTTCGGTGTTCATATCTCTGGTTTCCTACTAAGATTAAGCTTTTTATTGAAGTTAAGTGTTTCAAAAATAACATTTTCAGCATTGAAATGTATCGCTGGTTTGGTACTATTGCAATAATGTCAGATGATCAACTGTTCACAAGGTTTATGCTCGATGGCTGTTTTTATTTCTTAAAGAGCACACGAATATATAAATTATGGTTTCCCTTGTAAGGAAACTGAGATAACATTGGTGTGTGGTATTTCCTTCAATGTTTATATTGTAACGCCCACTTATTTGGAGAGAGTACAGCAGGATCAGGGCTTTGTGTTATTCACTGTTGTAAACACTGATTTAACACTCACTCTCATGGTAAATGTCAGGATTGTATTTGCTGGCATGTAACTGTGTTGAAATTATGCCACAGACTTTTCTTCTAAGGTTTGATTATCTTAGCAAGGTCACTGACCTTTACATTTGGACCAGGAACCCTATGGGGTCCAAAAGGGAGTATTAGGGGGTCCGTCTGTAGAAATGTTTTCAGAAAAAGTGTCCAAAAAAGAAAGTAAGTTAGATTTAAACAAATAAACATTAAATTAAAATAAATATATAGTTTGACTTAAAGGAAATGAATGAATGAATGAATAAATAACTAGGCTTTAACAGTATTATGGCGAGAAGGGAAAATGCAATAATGTAGTTAAATAGAATATAGACATTTTTTACAGAATAAATTGGGTCTTTATACAACAAACTATATAGATATCTTTTAAATTATTTAAGTTGGGGTGCCTTTGCACGAGGATGATCATATTTGTGGCATTTCAAAGATTGAAAACCCTTAATTTAGACTGCTGAGAGTGGAGGGAAGTGCTGAAGTCAACAGCAGCGGACTTTGATCTAACTCAGCAGTTGCTGAATTCAAGCGATAAGGTCTTTGAAAGGTGCAGATTTCTTTGCTCCATTAGGAATTACATCTCCATATCACAGTATGATGATACATTTTCTTAAAGCCAATGAAAGATTGGTTATTGAGAGAACTGAGCATGCAAGGACAGACCAAAGATTGGGGAGATTAATTCATATTAGGGTGGAGCTTAAACGCATGTGTGTGTGTGTGCGATGGATTATGTCCTGTGTGCGGTCATTGCAGGGTTGCAGATTGAATCCCCTTGAGTAGGGTGAGTTTCTATTCGTGCTTTCATTGAATTTAACTCTTTTGTTTTTTCCTGCTATACCCACATCTCTGTTCCAGTAAACTGT